GGATGCTCGTATTCGCCTATCTTTAAACGTTAATATCTCGTTAATTATTGCGTCAACTGCAAAATGGTACAAAACTGTTTTGTTCCCCTTGATCCAATCTATGTCCCCACTGTGTTTCAGTAACATTTTCTGAGACACCCTGTATATATATATATATACATATATATAAAATTTATTTTCAGTAACAAGTAATTAATGATTTACCTGTCCTTAAGGGATGTCGCCCGCTGAGGAAAGCTACCCTTGACGGTGTACACACCGGCATTACATAATGTCGATTCAATATCACGCCGTTGTACGCGAGAGCGTCTATATTCGGAGTAGGAATCTCATCAGCACCGTGGAAGCTAATATCGTTCCATCCCTTAGTTAACGCAATACGTGTATATTAAAAAATGTGTTATGTAACAATTGTATACGAATTTACACTTTTGGATCATTGTCTAAATGTTCATTATCGTTTGCCGTAGTTTTTCAGATGCTGAACATGTATTCGTTTCCTAAAAATTATCAGAGGCAAAAAATGAAATTTTTATGTCTTTTTTGCTGTAATATGGCCAGTAACATTTATTCTAAATTTTATTAATGTCACATGAAAGTATAAGTTTTTAGCTTTAAAATGCATCTTACTTTGTCTCGATATAATTTTTTGTTTTCAATAAGATATAATAATTTGAAAAAAGCTTTTTCCCGTGTAATACATAAGAAAGGCATCTTATTACATAATGCAAATTAATATCGCATTATGTAAAAAGTAAGTGCTTTTGTATATATCTTAAACTATATAATCTTATTTAATCGATTTATATCCACAAAAGCACATGAAACTTTAAAACATCTTCTGTAAAATTGTCACAGCTGCACTTTTGCTAAACACAGCAATTGTCACAACGTCATTGTAACATTTGCCGAAGTTATAACAGAAAAGACTTCTAGGTTTAATAATACTATCGCAACATTTAGTTTCGTAACTATTTTATTGTAAAGATATTTGTATAGCGCTACACAAGGACATATGTAACTTCAAAAGTAGTTAACTTTGAAGCTTTGAAAATTGGAATTTTTTAAAAATTTTAAATCTTCGCGCGCGCGCGCGCGCGCGCGAAATTGTCAAAAGTAACAACTTTAATTTAAATTGATCAAGATATTTTTTACTGAATACTTATCATTGATCAATACATTATACAAAGCATGAAAGTTAAATTATTTACAAATGTGATTCTCCAATTAAAATAAGTTAAAAGCCATTCTGAGTCACATTACAGATTTAGATTAAATTTTTATTTAAATATTTTAAGTTGCTTAGTTTTTACACTCTGCGAAGAAATAAGATTATCTCATTGCATGGATAACACAAGTCGATGATAATGTCTTACAAGATCATCAGCGATGATAACGACAACATTGGGTGGCTGCGTAGAGGCGTAAGTTGAACCGAAATAAAAGCTCACACTTAAAACTGTCAGGAAGAAAGCAAATGACATGTTCGAACTCATTGCTTTCACTAATTCTTCTATCAATTCGATATTATCGAATACGTTAAATTTATACACTCTTACGTGGAATTATCAATATCACGATGAGCTGTTTAAATTTTGAGACTTTAAAGTTTAGTACACTCAGTTAAGTGATCAATAAAGACTAATTCATCTATCCTTACACTTTATCTCTTTATATATAAATGAATTGTGGTAAAAAAATTTAGAAAATTAAAAGGAAAATAATAAAAATGTTATCTTATCCTATGATGATCTATAGATTTCACTTTCTTTTTGTCGTAGCTTCATAAAGATACGGTGAACTTTCACTTTGGGCTTGTTACTGCAAAGTGCGGCATGGACATTCCGAAATTTATAGGTATACACGACAGAGCGATAGCATTCATCTAATTAACACGACCTCATTATAACGATATATTTTATATGCATGCATACTGATAAGATGCAAAATACAATTGCTCTTTTTATCTTATCATTACAATTTTCATAATATTGAAGATTGTTGCAACCTTAAATGTCACGTGCAGCAAATTACTCAATCATCGTATATTTCTAAATAAATTTGTAATATATATCATTTATAAATACATTTTTTCATTCAATATATATGCGGAAATATAATTAAATAATAATTTATAATATATTTAAAATATCCGTATATTGATTTTATTTCAAAATTTATATACCTTTCCTATTATATACGATATACATACAATTTATGCAGTTAATTGTAAATTATTATTTTTAATATCAGGAAAATATGATAAATTAATAAAAAGGCCATAAAATATAATTTGTCTGTATGTAAGATCTTTTAATCTTAGCACAAATTAAACAATGAAAAGTTCCATTAACGAAATAAACTCAAAAAGGATGTATTTTATTATATCAATAGATACATCTACATAAATATATCTTTCCAAAATTACAATAGTTTTACTGTATATATAATATCATTCCGCTCGTGCCATGGCAAAGAAAGGACATGCAAATAGGTTTGAATGCACATTAATTTAAGAAAGGTATTTCGTAACCGGCAAGTTTAGATCAGTTAAGATGACCATCAATCCTCGACGAACAATGAAGCATAGGAGACGAAAATGTATTTAAAATTTATTGATACGTACACGGAGAAAATTTTATATTTAAAGTTACTAAAATGTGTAGCTGCAGTCTTCATGTAAATTATAAGTTCAAATGCTATAGTTATTTTATTAAAAACAATAATATAATGTAATTTTTACACTTTTTCATAGTAAAAATTTTTTATTACAAAATCAAATATACCTAGCAAATTTTGTTTGCGTACCATAGTAAAAATTAACTGTTTTCATGTTAGAATATGGCTTAACAAAATAATTACTTTATTTATATGATAAAAATTAGTATTACCATAGTAAAAGTTAAGTCGGAATCATGTTGTAAGAATCCATCGAAAATACAAGACATAGTAAAGTGTAATTTAAAATTGTATTAAAACAATATAAAATTTTCTCCGTGTAGAAAGTTAAACAAAATCTTGTTAAATATAACTAATAAGACTATTTGAGATTATCTATAAAATTATCTTCGTCCACATTATATATAATCTGAAAGGAAACTTTACTTTCAATACGTAATTTTTTCTCCATTTGTTAATTGTCAACAGAGTTAATAAAAAAATGTGTTTTAAACATTTTTAAACATATTTTTTTAAATACCACTTCAAAACATTAAAATTATATTTTTAAAAAGTCACATTAACATGTTCTTTTTAAAAAAAATATTTTTTTAATTACAAATTCCAATTAGGATACGCTGTATATCGTCCATGCGAGTAATACGCAATGTCACGGTGACAAAGTGACGTAAAGTTTAAAAAATCTACAATCAGTGAAATTTTAATGTCAAGTCACACGTGCAGTGATATTTTATCTAATCGTGACATTAGTGTTATTTTGAACATCCTGTTTTTATTTACAAATGTCCACGTGACGTCAAAAAGAAAACTATTGTGATGCTACGCCGTAGCACACATAAAATAAACATTAATTCACCGAACAATGCAAATGCTGATTCGAACATAGTCCACATTTAAAGTTTTATGTGCAATTTATGCGTGTAAAAATAAATTCGTCGCATGCGTCGTCCTGTTGTAACATTGCATGTTTCACACCGCGTAATCTTCCCTGAAAAACGTGTAAAAAAAAAACAAACACGCAACAATGCTTTTTTATCGTTACAACTTCAAAATCGGCTCCACGTGACAGCGAATACATTAATTGAACCGATGGAATTTTTTTACGTGCTCGTTTGCATTTCGAATTATTTAAACGGTTCAAACAAAAGCTTTGTCCACGACTACTACAAGGATGATTCAAATGCGAAGATAGTAGACCAAACCCTGTCAGCTGAGCAGCCGCGTTGTACAGAAATGTACCGGTTGACAGTATCCATGACTCTCAGGTAGTATTCGTTCTGCTTGGATCAACCAGCCATTGACGGCTTGATCTTTAATGACAATGTCACGACGAAAAATTAAATCTTGAAAGACATGTATGATCGCTGATTCCATATTCGTGTTTTTAGGATTTTTAATTTCATACGGTCTTAGTAATAAAAAGCATCCCCAAAGATGATGATATCTTCTCAGAGAAAAACATTGATGTAATATTTAAATATAAAAGCGTAGATCACTTTTAGAGTGATATGATGGTTTTTCTAATTCAAATTACAATCATACGATGTGAAAGTCAAAATTCCCCGTTAGTAAACATAAGTGCCAGTTTTTCCAAAAATTATTAAATGATCTTTTTCTCAAAGAGTTATTGAAGAGCGAGAAGAATAAAATTCAAATTGTGTTATAAGACAAAAAAAGAAAACATTATCCAAGTAACTATTCAATCGCGATTAAAAATGTATGTCTTATAGTATCAAATTGACCTTAAATTTCATCAATTTATAACGATTAAAGAATGCATCGATGTTTCCAAATTGATATCAGTCGAGCTCTTCAGCAGAATCGCAAACGTCCTCAGACAAGATCGAAATAAAATTGTTATAATTCCGCGTAGCTCCATTTATCGTAAAATATACTTCGTTGCTCGACACATAGTCGTCCGGCAACCACGGTATCCAAGTGTAATTGTTAAAGTTGGACGGATAGCCAGCAGGATCGACAGCTAAACTGATCGCTTCTTCGTAGCCCAGCCTTTTATAACAGTCGATGAGCACGTTCAAACTCTGCACGATCTGCAAATGTAACGATGTCTTTTTAAACTGGCAGCATTTCTTATTTCCATCTTGTCTGCACCAGATGGAACAAATTTTACGAAATTAATTGTGTAAGAGTAATTTTCTTCCCTAGCGATTGCAAAGAATCACAAATATTAATGCATATTACACCGTTATAATTCAATATTACAGTCTCGGACGTAAGCATAAAACACCCGCAAAAGTCCATATAAGCGTTGTGTAACTAACTTATTCCATACTTATATAAACTTTCTACTTTTATTTGCAATTGTTCAAGACGTGAAAACATACAATAATATCTTAAACGTTCTAGAGTAACGTATTGTAATACGGTATTATACATATATATAAGTGTCGAACTATAACTAAATACGAAATGAGATCTCATTATTCCAATATGCCGCAATAATATTGTCCACGTTTACCTCGTGTTCGTAAGTCTCTCAGTTTTCCCCAAATGTTTCTTATTTTGCGATTTTGATTTAATCTCACCTCAGGATACTGCAAGGATATATCCGTAACTTCGCAAGGATCTTCATAAATATCGAACAAACAAGTGTAATTCTTGCAATCAGTGAACGTAAGGTTCTCGCAAATTACCGTGGCCTCTTTTCGGAGCTCTTCTATTTTACTTGCAGTTACTACGTAATTTGAAACACTTGCAATGGCCAATGTGGCTGGTGACTCTAATACATTTGTCACGTTATACTTGGGATACGACGGGTCGTTACCTTTATAATCAGTATAGTGCTTCTGAAAGTCGGACTTATCTGTATATAAGAGAAAAGATACAGAATTTATTTATATGAATCACGCATTTTTAAACCAAATTTTTTATGAGATCAGAGATTTGAGAGAAAAAAAGAAAGAGAGAGAAAGTTTACAATAAAATTAAATGATGAAAAAAAAATATTGATATGTACCTTGAACGAGTTTGTAACGTCCCATTAATGCAGCACTATAGTCAACATCCTCGATATTTATGACAACCGATTTCCGTTTGCTAGTTTCTTGTCTTTTGATCGTGGACCACTGGTCAATGCCATCCAATTGGTTCAAATCACTTGAATTACCGCCAGCCGCGGAGTATAGCGTGGGTAGCCAGTCGGTAATATGAAATAATTGCGTTGAGACCCTCGACGAGTTTTCAATCAAGGGTGAGTAAATGCACGCCGCACCTCGAACGCCTCCTTCGTATAGTGAGGATTTCAACTACAAATGCATTGTTTTACTTTTTAAAAACTATAAATACACCGTTTCATTTGAAATTGCATATATCTTCTGCTTTAAAATTGAAATATCGATTTGAACAAAGCTGTAATTACCCCTCGTAATGGATAATTAGATCCAAAATTTTGATACAATGGACCTTCGGTCTGCGCTCCATTATCGCTTATAAAAAGTATGATTGTGTTCTTTAACATATCTTTCTTGTTTAGAGCATCAACCACCCGACCGACAGATTTATCTAATGTAGCAACGACACCTAAAATAGAAGTCAATAAGAAATTTTATCAAATTTTATTTAGATTCTTAATCTTTGCAACTTTGAATTTATATAATAAAATAGTATATATATATATACATAAACATTACACAAAAAAATAAATTAAAAAGAGAAAACTATTTGATTCGTTCCGAAACTGAGGAAATAAAATTAGGTTTTTAAAACAATCTGTTTGTTGTTCATACAACAATTAACGAAATTTATTGTGACACAAAATATTTGCTATCAACAGAATTGATTGTAAAATACGAAACGAATCGGTTTTTAGGAACCATTCAAATAATTGCTATTAAACAAGACGCAATTTTTTATTTCTCATGAAATGTATATACTGTTAACGACACTTTTAATAAATGCGAATAAGATATTTGTACTTACTTGCAAACTTCCTTCTGTTCACGTTTTCAATGTAGCCGAGGGTGGCATTCGTTTCTCTCCAATCGTATACTTCCATAGCTTCTTCGGCATCGCTAGCATGTGGAGCGAGATGCGCTAGTTGCAGATACATGGGCCTCTCAGTATTATGAGATGAAATAATATTTTCAGCCTCCTCGGTTATAAGATTAGTCATGTAGTCATATCTATATTCAACTGTGTGATTGTCGCCTACGATACGGTGCAAATCATAGCCTACTTGTTCCTGCAAAGTGTCATGCAATCTATTAAATAACGTATATTATTTAACATTATTATATAGCGTTGAGTATAAGTATAAAATCTTCTCAATTTATTCCAATAAACAAGTGCTGACGACAATAAAAGTCACAGGAGAACTAATAAAATATTAAAATTATAAAAGTAAACATTATTTTCCAATAAACCTGTTTGTAATTTATTTTTCATTAGATGCAGAATATTTACGTCAATTTTTTAATCTGTTTTAAACTTATGGCCAAAGTTACATATAATTACATTCTAGTTAATAATGATATCAACTAAATATCGATGTGTCTTTTATTCTACCGTTAGCGTAATTGTTATAAAATCACTTGCAATAGATAATATATGTTCTATCAATTGACAATAAACTATGATTTTCTTCTATTGTCTTAAACAAACATTTAAATTCGAAATTATAACATAAATGTTACGTTACTTTTAATTGGTATCAACTTATATATTTTTTTAAGACTATGGAAAAAAATTGTTTATCGTTAATTGACAACAAACTAATCAAATTTTTATTATCTCTTGCAAACAATTTTATAACAATTACGTCAACTATCGAACAAAATACTGAAAAATCATATTGATTTTTTCTATTATAATTCTATATAATAAAACTATCTTTTTTTTCTAGCAATACTTAATTATAGAAAATTTACATTTTCGGCTATTGTATGATTGAAGTATTGAATAACGCCGTTGAAATATCCCAAGAAAGTGTCGAAACCACGACGAGTGGGTACGTAATTTCTCGTGAGATAACCAACATGCCATTTCCCTAAGAGATGAGTACTGTATCCGAGTTTACGAAGATACTCAGGTAAAAGAGTATCGTTCAAGTGCAGACCACGTGGCTCAGCTCCTTTCAAGGGATAGCCCTGCATACCTGTGTTGTAATGAATTTACAAACACAAATTAAATTCCAATAATTTCCTTCCCATTCAAACAGCACTAGTGTCTTTTCACATTTTGTAACGTACTCGTACAATAGTGATTACGGAAATCAATAAAAATATAAATTGTATAAATAACGGAAAGACTAACAATAATACTTTAAAGATAAACTTTCGAATTTCTTGCACCCACGTTCTATTGATGTGACCTTTTAATTACATATATAAACACACTCTTAATGATTCTAAATTGAGACATTACTTATAAGAATATCTTTTAATTTTAATATTAATAAATAATAAATAATAAATAAATAAATAATTAATAAATAAAACATAAATAAATCAAATAATTTTTAAATTTTAGGCCGGCAAGTGAAATACAATAGAAGATTAGATAATTTGCTACAGATTGAAATGACACAGCACACCGTATCACTTATATTAGGTGTTAAACTTAATTCCTGCCGCTCGCTACTAGAGGGTACTGGCTCCAACCCTGGCGAGTTTCGACGATGAAGTCATACGTCTTTTGTAGTTTAGACATCGCTGAATGTGATTCAATCCTCACAGATTAGATTTCTCGTGTCTTGCCTGCTTCGGGTATTGCATCGTCTTACCCACATTTTTCGAAGAGCGTTTCCAGCTTCGACTGTGATTTGCATTATATCATTGTTTCATCTATTACTCTTCGAGACTTTTGTTACTCACCGCATTAGCGGCATTTTTGATTCTGGAGCTGTATTAGAGTAGGGGCCATTCACACAAGAAGAATAAGAGAAGAAGTTAGATTTCTCGACGCCAAAGAGATTTTCCAATCGATTGAAAATGAATCGCGATAAGCTGTTTTTCCGACATGTGCTTCTTTACTACTTCAACCTCGAGTTGAAGCTTACTACTTCAAAACCGCAGTTGAAGCGCATCGCTTATTTGGCCTTCTCAAAACGCTTGCATGCCATGGGAAAGATCCATAAGGAAGGGAGATGGCTACCACATGAGTTTGATTAAGGTATTTATTCATCTTCCCTTCGAAACAAATCAATTTTGGAGACGAAAACACAGCAGGAATTAAGTTTAACACCTATTATTTATATATATATATATATATATATAATGTATTTGCAGTAGCAAGTAATTAATGATTTACCTGTCCTTAGGGGATGTCGCCCGCTGAGGAAAGCTACTCTTGACGGTGTACACATCGGCATTACATAATGTCGATTTAATATCACGCCGTTGTACGCAAGGGCGTCTATATTCGGAGTAGGAATCTCATCGGCTCCGTGAAAGCTAATATCGTTCCATCCCTTAGTTAACGAAATACGTATATATTAAAAAAGTGTTACGTAACATATATACGAATTTACACTTTTGGATCATTGTCTAAATGTTCATTATCGTTTGCCGTAGTTTTTCAGATGCTGAACATGAATTCGTTTTCTAAAAATTATCAAAGAGGCAAAAAACGAAATTTTGATGGCTTTTATGCTGTAATATGGGCAGTAACATTTATTCTAAATTTTATTAATGTCACATGAAAGTATAAGTTTTTACCTTTAAAATGCACCTTACTTTGTCTCGATATAATTTTTTGTTTTCAATAAGATATAATAATTTGATAAAAGCTTTTTCGTGTAATATATAAGAAAGGCATCTTATTGCAAATTAATATTGCATTATGTAAAAAGTAAGTGTTTTTATATATATCTTAAACTGTATAATCTTATTTAATCGATTTATATCCAAAAGCACATGAAACTTTAAAACATCTGCTGTAAAATTGTCACAGCTGTAGCACTTTTGCTAAACACAGCAATTGTCACAACATCATTGTAACATTTGCCGAAGTTATAGCAGAAAAGACTTCTAGGTTTAAAAATACTATCGTAACATTTAGTTTCGTAACTATTTTATTGTAAAGATGTTTGTATAGCTACACGGGGACATATGTAATTTCAGAAGTGTGTAGTTAACTTTGAAGCTTTGAAAATTGGAATTCTTTCAAAGTTTTAAATCTTTGAAATTGTCAAAAGTAACAACTTTAGTTTAAATTGATCAAGATATTTTGTACTGAATACTTGTCATTGATCAACGTATTATACAAAACATGAAAATTAAATCGTTTACAAATGTTCTCCAATTAAAATAAGTTAAAAGCAATTCTGAGTTACTTTACAGGAGATTTAGATTAAATATTTATTTAAACATTTGAAGCTTCTTAGTTTTTATACTGTCAAGGAATAAGATTATCTCATTACACAGATAACACAAGTCGATGATAAGGTCTTACAAGATCATCTGCCATGATAACGACAATGTTGGGTGACTGCGTAGAGGCGTAAGTTGAACCGAAATAAAAGCTCACACTTAAAACTATCAGTAAGAAAGCAAATGACATGTTTGAACTCATTGCTTTCACTAATTCTTCTATCAGTTCGATATTATCGAATACGTTAAATTCACACACTCTCCTGTGGAATCACGATTTCACGATGAGCTGTTTAAATTTTGAGACTTTAAAGTTTAGCACGCTCAGTAAAGTGACTAATAAAGCGACTAATTCATCTATCTTTACAATTTATCTCTTCATATATAAACGAATTGTGGTCAAAAAATTTGAGAAATTAAAGGAAAATAATAAAAATATAGTCTTATCGTATAAAATAATCTGTAGATTTCGTCTTCTTTGTCGTAGCTTCGTAAAGACACGTTGAACGTTCGTCCAGGTTCGCACTGGATCTATTACTGCAAAGTGTGGCATGTACATTGTGAAATTTACTGGTTACACGATTTTATTTTTACATTATAATGATATATTTTATATGCATGCATACTTGTATAAGGTGTAAAATACAATTGCAGCTTTTATCTTATCATTACAGTTTTCATGTTATGAAAGATTGTTGCAAACTTAAATGTCACTTGCAGAACAGTCATCGTTCCAAATAAATTTATAATATGCATCATTTATAAATACAACATTTTTCCATTTAATATATGCGGAAATATGTCCAAAAGACAATTTAGTATATCCATATTCTGATTTTATTTTAAAATTTTTACACCTTTCCTATCACGTGTGATGTACATACAATTTATGCGGTTAATTATAAATTATTATTCTTAGTATCAGGATAGTGTGATCAATTAGTAAAGAGGCCATACAATATAATTTTTATGTAAGATCGCTTAATCTTAGCACAAATTAAACAATGAAAAGCTCGATTAACGAAATAAACTCGAAAAGGATGTAATTTATTATATCAATAGATACATCTACATAAATATGTCTTTCCAGAATTATAATTGCTTTGCTGCATATATAATTTCATTCCGCGCGTGCAATAGCGAAGAAAGGACATTCAAACAGGTTTAAATACGCATTAATTTGAGATAGGTATTTCGTAACCGGCAAGTTTAGATCAATTAAAATGACCATCGATCCTCGACAGAGACACACAATAAAGCATAGGTGACGAACATGCATTTAAAATTTATTGATACGTAGAAAGTTAAACAAAATCTTGTTAAATATAATTAATAAGACTATTTGAAATTATCTATAAAATTATCTTCGTCCACATTATACATTATCTGAAATAAAACTTTACTTTCAATACTAATTTTTTTTCCATTTGTTAATTTTCAACAGAGTTGATAAAAAAATATGTTTTAATCATTTTTAAACTTTTTTAAATATTTTTAAAATACCATTTAAAGTATGTTCAAAACATTAAAATTATATTTAAAAAGAATCACAATATTATGTTCATTTAAAAAAAAAACATTGTTTTATTACAAATTCCAAATAAAATACGCTGTATCTCATGCGAGTAATACGCAATGTGACGGTGACAAAGTAACATAAAATTTAAAAAATCCACTATCAGTGAAATATTATTGTCAAGCTACATAATTAATTTGCAGTGACATTTTATCTTATCATTTTATCGTATCGTGACATTAGTGTTATTTTGAACATCTTGTTTTTATTCACAAATGTCCACGTGACGTCTAAAAAAAAACTATTGTGAGGCTATGCTTTAGCACACATAAAATAAGTATTAATTCGCCGAATAATGCAAATGCTGGTTCAAACATAATTCACATTTAAGGTTTTATGTGCAATTCATGTGTGTAAAAATAAATTCGTCGTATGCGTTGTGCTGTTGTAACAACGCATGTTTCACACCGCGTAATGTTCCCTTAAGAAACGCGTAAATGAAAAACGAGACGGAGCAATGCTTTTTTATCTCACTACAACTTCAAAATCTGTTTTACGTGACAGCGAATACTTTAATTTCGACCGACGGAATTTCGTTACGTGCTCGTCTGTATTTCGAATTGTTCAAACAAAAGCTTTTCACCCGACTGCTACGAGGATGATTCCAATAGAAGATAGTAGGCCAAACCGGACAGCTGAGCAGCCGCATTGTACAAAAATATACCGCTTGATAGTATCTATGACTCCCACGTATTTTTCGTTCTGCTCGGATCAACAAGCCATTGACGGCTTGATCTTTAATGACGGCATCGCGACAAAAAATTAAACCTTGAAAGACGTGTATGATCGCTGATTCCACATTCTCCATTGAGAAATGACAATGGAATCGACATCGAATCGATTCGACGTCGAAATCATCGAATTGACATCGATTCCATTGTCATTTCTCACTGGGTCGTATTTTTAGGATTTCCAATTCGATACAGTCTTGGTCATAAAAAGCATCTCCAAACATGATATCTATTCAAAGAAAAATATTGATGTAATATTTAAATGTAAAAGCTTTTAGATCACTTTTAGAGTGATATGCCGGTTTTTCTAATTCGAGTTACAATCATACGATGTAAAAATCAAAATTCCCCGCTAATAAGTGCCATTTTTTTCTCAAAAATTATTAAATGATCTTTTTTTCAAAGAATTATTGAAGAATGAGAAGAATAAAATTCAGATCGAGATTCAGATCGTGTCAAAAGACAAAAGAAGACAACATTATTCAAGGAGCTCTTCATTTAAATCGCAATTAAAAATGTAACGAATATGTTTTCTATAATATCAAATTTACCTTAAAATTCACCTATTTGTGATAACGATTAACGAATGCATCGACATTTTTCAAAAGTGATTTCAGCGAAGTCGCAAACGGTCTCGGACAAGATCGGAATGAAGTTATTATGTTTCTATGTAGTTTTGTTCATCATAAAATGTATTTCGTTGTTCGGTTCGTAGTCGTCCGGCAACCAAGACAGCCAAATGTTGTTAAAGTTGGACGGATAGCCAGCAGGATCGAGGTCTAAATTGATCTCTTTCACGAAGCCGTTTATAGCAATCTATGACCTAGTTTCCACCGAAGATTCGAACCTGGAATGCAAGAACCAACCAACTACAATCGAGCATTCCCCTGTCATTCGACTGTAACAGGAATACTCGACAAACTTTCTGTGGAAATTAAGTCCATGAGCACCTTCAATTTCTACACGATCTGCAAACATAACGATGTTTTTTTAAATTGGCAGTATTTCCAATTTTTATCTCGTCCCCGCCAGATGGAACGATGATTACGTAATTACTTGTATCAGCCATTTTCTTTTCTAGCAAAGTCATTGCTGATGCGTATAATCATTGTAATTTAATAATAGTCTTGGATGTAAGTATAAAACATCCGCAAAAATTGATGTAAACGTTCTACAACTAACTTATTCCATACTTAATTTTCTCTATTCTTATTTGCAATTGTTTGAAATATTTTTACGAAATGAATGTTTACATATAACATAACGTAAAGGGGAATAATAGAACTACGATTATTTATCTTAATAATTATAGAAGCCTTCATTCAAAAGATACCTCAGTATTTATTTAGTTTTAAACTACAATGGCAATAATGGCATTCATATGTTATCAATATAAAGATCACAATTTTAAACAAAAAGTAAAACTTTTATTGTTTAGACTTATCCGCTATCATACGAGGCAATGACGAATCAGATTTTGTTTTTTTTTTAATTTTATATATATATATATATATATA